CGTTTTACTGGGAAAAGGCTTGATCCGAAATAAGTATCATTGAAAAGTAAGTAACGTTTCTTCTTCTTTCCGTGTCGTGTAGCATAGTGTCGCTGCCGAACTACTTTTTGTCGCGAACGGCGCTGTTGCTGTAGTGGTAAGGGGGCCTACGTGGCCTGGAACATGGAGTGTTGTCAAGTGCCTCGCTCCAACGCCATTTTTGGGTCGCGGCAGCCGCAGCCTCCACAGTTCACCGAGTTATCGTGAAACGAAGTACAAATCAACTAATTCCCGTAGCAAAAGAAAAATATATACAAATAAAAAGCACGTTGGACGCAGAAGTGCTACCTCCTTTCATAGCGCGTGTGGCGCGTGGAATAATCCATAAAAAAATACGGTGGTTCATTTAGAACAATGGTCCATGCAAAAAAAAAAAAAAAATGACAGTGTTTCTCACTTCGTGCGGGCAACGCAGCGCAGCGCAGGGCGCTGCAAAAGGGCTGTTTATACTCCAACGTCGACGAACACAACGCGCGTCGGCGCAGACCGACGTCGTCGGCCAGTACGCCGCGCCGAGAAGCGCCCGGACGATGCGCCCCTACGCGCTGCAACACTTTGCGCATGCGCGTCTCTAGGGGTTATCTACGGGCGGTAGCTTGCGCCACCTAGCCTAGATGCAATCAGTCAATGTGGTTCGTCCTCGTGATGTCATGTCACGCTTCAAAACAACCATTCGGGGTTCAGAAACAAGCAAATGATGACGATAACGAGTACAAACCAGCATTTATTTTCTCCTAAATGTCACACAACTGTCAAAAGAAAAAAAAAACACACACACACACACACACACACACACACAAAGAAAAGAAACAACAAAAGAAAAACGATATTGCGTTTGTTGAACTTAGCTGCTTCGCAGGTTCGCCGGAGTCGTGCCGAGCGACTCCGGTGATTCCGCCGGAATGCTTCAATGTAATCGATGCGCTCGATATTCCAGAGACCTTTTTCTGACAGATAGCTGGTGTGTTATCATCATAGCAGACTTTCCCGCCGAAGAGAGCGGACGATGCCTAAATTACGCAATGTACGCGTTCGAAATTGTAACACACTCTACAAAGCCTAAAAAAAAATTAAAGGATTCAGTTCAATTGTCATCGCAGACCGCCCAGTTGAACATTTCTGGCCGGCTAAATAGTTCAGAGGTTTCACTGTGCCCCCCGTTCCCGTACATTCGACAACGCTTTTTCGATTGGGAACGACTGCCGGTGAGTGCGACTTGCACATGATTATAAATAGCACACACATTAGGTCATCCTTAATTCTAATTAAACCTACCTTTGGCGCTTCATCAAGCTTCCAGCTTTTGCCGGCACCCCAACACCGCGCGCAGGCACGTAGCCAGGATTTTGTTTCGGGGGGGGGGGAGCTGCTGCCCACCCATGACAAAATTCTGTATGAGGGGGAGGGGCGAGAGGAGGTCCCAGCGAAATGGGAGATTTCGGGGGAAGCCCGGGCCCCATGCCCCCCGCCCCCCCCCCCCCCCCCCCCCCCCTGGCTACGTGCCTAACACCACGGCCCACCACCACCGGCTCGTCAGGTCGTTAGGCCTAACGAGAATCGAGGGTAGAGCATCCTCAAAGCGGTCCACGTCCACGCACACACTCGCCCAGTCAAGCGCACAAGCGTTAAATGCGCACACCAACACGGGAACACGACAACAGCATACGACACACGGCAAGAAGGACAGGTTCAGATCTCAGAAGTGAGCATCTCACACACTCCAACTGGCCCCGACGACCCCGGCAACTGGAATCCCGAATGAGGCATTCGCGCGAGGACTTCTGGGTTAGCCTCCGACGGCGCCGTCGTCGTCTAACGTTAAACGTAGAGCATGTTCCAGTCCGTCGTCTCGTAAGCTACGCTGTCGCGCGTCGAGCTGCTTGCGTTGCGCACCGTTCAACTTGACGTTGGGGTATGGACCCCGTTCGCAGACAGCGTCAGCGAGCGTGAACGAGCGCGTGCGCTCGTTGACGTTACGACGGAGTATGAGCAACCCTAAAGATTGCCGTCTGCCGTACACAGGAACGTGGTCCTCGCAGGCGGTTTACGGCGGTAGCAAGCTGACGACGGAGCAGCGACCCCTCACTGTTCCCAAAATTCCTCACGCGCACCGCTCGAGGGCATGCGGCTGCTTTCCAGGAAGGTTCATTGCGTTACGATCGTTTAATGACCGCTTACCACGAGATGGTTGCTGTGGCAACCGAGGTCCGCGCAACGCGTCGTTGTAGCGGAACGCGAGGAGTCTGAATGCAGTCCGACGTCACACGCTGCGATTCGATGGCCAATCATAGACAGCGCCAAAAGTTCATCTTCACGGCACTGGTTTTCTTTGTGGATTTGCTACCGATCAGCTTCATGAGATCGTACGGTAGGACTTTGTGTATTCTCGTCTACTTGATCGAGAATGGAGAGCTTTCGTAGATCGTTTCCGCCGTCCCGCAAAGCTCTCCGCAACTCGATACAAGATCCGGATCTCTGCAGACGAGGCTGGCGGCGCGCATCCGCAGGAGCCGCGTCTTTGTCGCGGACAGCGTGTAGCGAAAAGGGAAGAGAGCGGTCTACCGAAAATTCACACAAAAAGACTGCCGCACACACGAAGAGATGCGAACAAACATGGAGCCTGTTTCGAAGTTCGTTTGCTTCGTACAAATGTATGCTTAGAACATGACTGCACGACAGGTTTTGGTACTATCAATGTGAGAGGAGGGGGTCTGCTGACCCGCCTTTTGCACGATGCATTACAGCATAGTGCGACCACGACTCGATGCTTTCGCGACGCCCGTTTTGGTGTTTCTCCGGCCGTTCCCGAGCCACGGGCCCATCCATCGGCAACTCCGTCTATGAAATGTTGATAACAAAAGCAAAAGGCGGAGGAGCGTCCCTCTGTCGGCGTACGTGCAGTGCGTTCGCCCCCTCGGTAACCGGAGCCGAACGATCCAAAGCGCCGCTTCTCTCGCGGGCGTCCCCAAACTCTGCTTTCATCCAACGATGGACCGCAGTGCACACTACGAACCATCCCAGCCAACCCGGCGCTGTGATCGCATCACGTGACTATGCGTTTAAGGCGTTACCACGCGCCTCCTGAAGGGTCACGTGGTACTCGCTCGCCGTTGGAGTGGCTTCGACGCCCCTCTAGGGCCCCATGCGTTTCACCGTGAAGTGTAACGGAATGTAATGCATGCAGCGAGCGGCCTGGTTTGGGTAGGACTGAGGAGCGGCTGGGGCGCATTAGGTGCCCATTATGACGGGCGCCCGGCGTTGGGTCCGACAGGCGTCATCGTCGTCGTTCGGCTCCGGTCAGTGTCGCGTCGTAAAATGGGGGAAGGGCCGCCGCGGTGCTGATCTCATCGAATCGGGAGCGTCGTCCCTTCTCGTCACTTGGCTCGCTAAACTTCGTTTTTAGTTTTGGTTCAAAAACGGCAAAAAGGCGGCGCAAGGAAACGCTCTGGCAATCCTCTTCGTCGATCGTGACTGAAACGTTCCGACGTTTTCCTCAATTTAGGGTTTCGGGAAAGCTCCCTCCACCAGACGGTGACTCCCGTAGCTAAAGGCCCGTTCACACATTTGCGCAAGTCCGACCGAGTGCGACTGCAACGGCTTACGACGTACGGGTTGCTATGGCAACAGCTGCGTCGGCTCCAACAAAACGGGGTAAAACCGGTCGTGTTGAAGCCGACGCAGCTGTTGCCATAGCAACCCGTACGTCGTAAGCCGTTGCAGTTGTACGCAGTCGCACTCGACGCAAGCTTGTGAACCAGCCTTGCTACAAGACCGGTTTTAAGCCTCTTACGAAGACTTAAGCCCAGCTCCTAGCAGCGCATCCGACCCTAAGCCGTCGCAAAAGGCTTAAAAACCGGCCTTGTCCCTGTCGGTCCTACTAGAGTTCCTGTATAGGCTCCCTACGGGAGCCAGAGTTGCGCATTTGTTTTCCCCGCGCCGCCACGCCGCTATTCGCCGAGATCCATCACGTCAGGAGCAAAGCATCCGTTGGCGTGCAAGAAAGCCACCTTTACGGTCGCTCCGCCGACGTTTCTCTTGCCCCGGCGTATGTTTCCCTGCTTTCCGCCTCCTTTTCCTCCTCTCCTGTTTTCCATGCGCGGCGGCGCGCGTGGCGCCGCTATTCGCCAAATTTAGTCACGTGAGGAGCAAAGCATCCAGCTCGTGCGGGAAAGCCGGCGCTACGGCCACGCGCCGAGGCTGAATGCGCAACTCTGCTACCGTAGGTAGCATATACAGGAACTCTAGGTCCTACTCGGTTGCAAGTGTGTGAACGGGCCTTCAGCTTTGGGGAAGACAAAGCGCGTACGTCTTGGCTTTCAGTTGTCGTTGTCCGTGCTATCCGTTTACTGCAGCTCAAAGCAGAACAGCTTCTATAGTTCATTTCAGCATACCTTAGCAAAGATCAAACGCTGCGGCCCCCTCCAGCCAATCAGAGATGGAGCGAAGCACGTGACAGCTTAAAAGGAGTCCACTCCGGCGCTACGTTGGCGCGTGTTTAGCTCCTGCTCTCCTGACGACTCGCAAGGGCCGCCGCCTTCGCAGTTGGGCAAGTTAGCTGAGACGGAGTACCACTCTGCAACGTAAGTTTCATTAAGCTGCAATTTAAACGGGTTTGCGCAAAAAAATACGTTCTAAATATTAGTGCAACCAATTTTACCTTTTTTCCTTTCTTTTCTACGCCGTTTCTTGCCTGAAAGTTGTAGAGAAGACGACGCCCCGCCACACAAGAGAGATCCAATGTGGGTCAAGAGCTTCTTCGACGTTCGAGGGATTCATGATGAGTCAACAGATTCAACGAGTCAAGAGATCCAACGAGTGAAGACGGCCATGTAGTGAAGACGGCCTCTGAATCGTTGGACCGCTCGCCTCGGAATCCCACAAAAGTTGGTGTCTGGGAAACCCGACCACTTCTTGGGAGTTTTCCCCGATGTGAGTAAAGAGGCAGAGACGAGGTTGTTTCCTTTTTCAGAGGTGAATACAGTATATTATTCGTCCATATTATTTACACGGCGCTATTTACAAATATATATTTATAATACATCCAAAAATACAACGAGGGAACGAAGCACATCTATGAAGCGTGGCCTGCGATTCAAAGAGGCGCGAGCGACGAACACACCATGTACACTCACACACACGCAAGCAGACACTCTCGCGGGAACAGTTCGTAGAATCTTCGGGTGGACTTGGAAGGGAAGAAACAAGAATGAGATTTTCGATGAAATACGAGATTGGCATAAAACAAAACTTATGCAAAAAAGAAAAAAACATTCAGGAAGGTAGATTGCAAGAACTTTCGGCTTATTGTTCTTGTGTGTTTTTGGGAGGGTGGGAGGGGAAGATGAGACAGCCGTAGTCAGCTGTTGGGTGCGACATAGAATGACTCAATATCTGCTGTTAGATGTGGCAAGGGCAGTGAAGGACGGTTTTTTTAGTTTGTTTGTTGGTTCGTTCACTCAGTGCGCGCGCAACAGGCTCACAAATGGAAGGCCTGAGGGAGTTAACACAGTAAAATGAGTTCCCTCCTTTTTTTTTTTTTTGCTTTCACTTTCTCTTTTTCTTTTCGGACATCTTATAAGCCTATTCTCTCGCACCCTAGCGCTTACGCCGAAGGAAATAATCATCTAAGACACGAGGCGAAATTGATTATTTTTTCTGTGCGTCTAAATGAGAACAACACCCACAGACGTTTCGTGGACAGCAAAGGTGTCGAGCACACACACACACACAAGAAAAAAAGTCTGCTAACAGATGCTTTACATCTCTTCTAGAAACATTGGTACAAAGCGAGGAGAATACACGTGGTCGGTTATCAACACTTCGACCGGGAACACTCTCCTTCTAACCTTAGCACAAAATTTTACATCGAAGGCATTAGAGCAGCAAACGAGGGTTAAGTCACTTTCACAGACACGAACGTGCACGGATATTTTTTTGTTTGTTTTGCTTTTTGGTTCTCGACAGAACGCTCCTCGAGCAACCATGGGAAAGAATCGCGCACGATCCCTTTTAGCGAGTTGTATGGTGACGTCACCGCGTCGCTCACATTTTCGGTCGCAACGGCCTGCACGGTGAGAAATCACGTGATCTGTATATATATATATATAGCACGGCGGTGATTGGAGAAGGAGAAGCACCCGCGACGCATTAGCGATCGCGCGTTTCGATGACAATTGGCCTGCGAAGGAAAACAAACGAGCGTGGGAGGGCCTAACCAACCAACTCCCCGGGGGGAATTTCACTGGCACATTGAACGTACAGGCGGACGAGCTTTGCTGCGTGAATAGACTAATAACCATAATCCCTAGAAAACCGTCCGCGTAGCACACTTTTCTTCAATCACACGAAATAAGAGAACTAGAAGGCGCGTCACACGCGAAATGCCCTTGCTTCTTTGCAACAAAACACCAAAACGAACAAGCAAAAAAAAAAAAAAAAGGAAGGTAGGTTTGAAAGCATGGAATGCCCACACACCAACATCGACCACAGAGGAGGAACTAGTCTCTGGAAAGATGATTAGGACAGATTTGCGTGAATCTAAGACACTGACCACTGCGACCGGTTCGCACGAGAAGACAGAGAGTTGTCCAGACACAACGTCGATACGCGACCAGCGGGGGAAACAACGTGACAGGGACAAAAAAAAAATTGAAAAAAAGAACGTTGGTTCCTGTTTAAAAAAAATAAAAAGAATCTTCTGACCAGTTTCAAACACGAAAAGCAAAACCGGGGACTGCAGCCACCAGCGGCATCGCGGCCTTCTAACGTCATTTTTACTATATACTTCTTTCGTGCTCCTTCTTTAGCCAAACAATGCAAGGTTGTTCGGTTTCAAATTGCGATACGCATAACGCACACACGCATACGTAATAATTAGAAGAATAAAATATAAAAAGAAAGTTTGAACTTTCGCTTTCAAAGCAAAAACATAACATAGGCACAAAAGAAAAATGTACAAGGAAGTCCGGCCTGCATGAGAGTAGTTAGGTTGCTGACCTTTCTCGGGACGTTGAGAGTCTTTGAGACTCAAACGTCTTTAGGAGCCGGAGTCTGGATTCGGGTTGGCTGGCGGAAAAAGAGAACTCAATGCGGGCTTCTGAACGGAGACGGGTGCTAGCGCGTGCTACCGAAGTCTACAGGCCACAACACCCGAGGCTGCAACACCACTCGCGGCCAACACTTCGCGTACGCGGGTGCGGGAAAGCCTTCGAATTCCCGCTCTTCACACGGACAATTGTGCCCCGTAACACGCGACTTCGGACGACCGCGAGCGTGTGCTGTGTGCAACATAATCGATTCACACTTTGGAAGGGGGGGGGGGGGGGGGGGGGAGTGTGGGTGGTGGGTGGAGGGGGTGTGCCCACTCTTAAAATATATAATACAATGTACTAACAAGAAACTCCGAGCGGGAGCGCGCACGCGCAGTATCCGTTCATATTTTTAGAGGAACACGAGGAAAGACGTCGTCGTAGGTCGGGCCGACTAGGTGACCCCGTCACACTGACGTTGTTCGCAGAACGTCCATTTTCTAAGTTCGTCGGCACTGCAACGTTCCTTTACTCGTTCCTGGGTGTGTCTGTTCGCAGAAGCGCGCACTTGCGTGTTCCTTCTCTGCGTGTTCGCTCGTGTTCTTGTTCCGAAGTGAAGGATGGAGCGGCTTTTTCACCGCAGGGTGGCGCTGTGGAGACCGAGGATGCTTCGAAGTGTGGCGTCCAGCCGCACGACTTGGACCGGAGTCGGAGTCGCGGGCGGCAGGAGGTGGGAGACTTCGGCCATGGGCGGGAGGACGGTAGGGAGGGCCTGGTCGCTCAACCAGGGGTCCGCCAGGGGCTTGGTGTCGGCGTCGTGACTCGGCGACAGGAACACCTCGACTCCCGGAAACCGCTGCCGGAATTCCTCGGCGCTGAGATGGGTGCGGAAGAGGACGTCCTCAAACCGGATGAAATCGGAACCACTGCGCCAAGGAGAGCAAAGGAAAAGAAAATGTCGGTTAGTCTTCAGAAGAAAAAAAATACATACATACATAAAAAACAAGAATGTGAGATCCGGTGAATCTGCATTGATGCTGACGTAGATATTCTTATGAATTCGGACACAGAGTGTCCAGTTTCACTATGTGTTTTTATTCAGAGCAAAATAAAGATGCGCTGATGCGGTTTCTTGTTGCTTGTTCGTTCTTCGTTTGTTGCCCAACTTTTAACGACACAATTCGTAGATCGTTTCGAGAACTATGGTGATACTCTATATTCTGCCGGTGCATCGTATCGTTATCGGGTATGGTTGTGGAAGACACCGGAACGGTCTCTTATCACCCAAAACGCGAGGACCGGTTCAGGTCCGCACAAAGCCACCTCAACACAAAGAAAGGCGACGCCAACAGTGTAAGCAGCTCTGCCACTGCCGCCAAAGTCGCCTCCGTCGCTTTATCCTACGTCCCGCCTAAGCGTGAGGTGTACGCGTAATGAACTTTGGCGCCCGGGAATACGTGCTCCTTCCGCTTAGATTCGGTAGTAGCGCAAAACGCGCATACAAAAAGGGAACGCCGCAAAGTCGCGGCAGCTCACTGAAGCCCGCTCGCCGCCGCCGCTTTCAAGAACAGGGGCTCGCGGACGAACGGACGGGAGAGAATTGCTCCGACGAAAAGACGCTGCCGCTGACAGGCTGCCTTTGTTGTGCGCCAGGCCTAACCGCACGCACCTCGCACCGACGAAAGAAGGAAGAAGCGGCTTTTTAAACAGCCGCGCTCTTTGTCTCGGAGACCGCCGCCATCGTCGTCGTCGCTCCCTTATTCCCCCCTTTTTCTTTTTTGCTCTTCTTTAGTCGCGTCTTTAGGGAGGGCGGCGAACGAAGCCCACGGCGCAAAACTCGGCGAGTACGAGAGTCTTCCGGCGGAGGCGGCAACGCGCAGCTTTTGGGGCGGCTGACGATCGAAAGCCCGCGGCCGAACAAAAACCGGGGCGCGCTTCTGGATCGCCTCCTCATTTCGGCGTCTCCTTTGTCCGCGCCAGGCTTCTTTCTCTCTTTTTACTTTTTGGTGATTTCCTCGGAAGCCCCGGAATCTGGGGGAGCGTTCGTTCGTCGGCGTCTTCGAGCCAGCCCTTTTCATCAATCAGCCCGCACGGAGCGCTCGCAAAGCGGCACGGTTAGGCGCGCATTCGGCGTTGATACGGGCAGAGAAGCTTACATTATAAAAAATCTTCGAGTTGGCTTTTCAGATCTAACCGTATTCTGAGCTTGGTTATTCGGGGGAAACTTCTATTCCTCGTCGTGATTAGGTGTCTTCGAGTGCTCCAAAAAACAAAACTCCCATACTTTTTTTTTTTTTTTTTTTTTTACGCTTCAAGTATATTTTGATGTAGTGCAGATCTATGGCAACGCACGCAGACACTGTGCTGCACAATCGCAGAACATGTCCAGTTCTGCGAGGAAAACCCAGCGTCAATGAACAAAAGACAAATTTAATTTAAACGCATAAAAACAGTTCGGAAACATTAATTCTTTTAGGTGCGTTCAAATTTATCTTCCCTTTGTCCCTCGCAGCTATGTTTATGAGAAGTTTCCCACGATTCGGCAACGAAGATCTCAAGCTCGAAGTCGTAGTAGGCCAATGAAAAGCGCGCGTGGTGAGCTACGGTACGCTGCGCTCCAAGTACGAGCCTTTATAGTGCGCCGTCGCGCAAGCAGAATTGCGGCGGACGGCTCGAAGTAAAAAAACAAGAAGCGCCGAGGCTCTTCCAGGCACGGTGGCGCCCTGCCAAGGACTTGGTTCTCCTCTCGCGACGAGGGCGGTCCGCCGGCACAATCCCGGAAACTTCAGGGAGATGACGTCGTCGAAGCAGCGACCGCGACGTGCTCGCCGGCACCGCCGGTGTTGTTGTTGTTTCCCGGCACCGACGCGGTGCGCCCGGCGGGTCCGCTCAGCTGGCCGCGTCGGCGAAGGGCGGTCATTATTCTGTCATTAGGGTCGGCACGGGCGCGTCTTGACGGCCGGCGAGAGCGTGCGCCGGCGTCCGAGCGCGCGCCAACGAGCGATCGACACGAATGTCTCCGGGAACGATTAGGGCGCCCCGGCGACGGGAAGCCGTGGGCCGGAAACGGCCGACGGGAAACGCGCCCCTGACGCGCTTGCCGCCGCTGCAGGAGCCTTCACTACAGCGACAGCTTGGCTTCGAGGGTGCGCCATTCCGCGAACGAACACCTTCTAGGGTACTTCCAGAGGAAAGTGTCAGGCTGTGCACGAGCGCTCGTTCGCGACAGCTAAGCTATTAGAGCAACGTTCCGTGAGAGGTAAACTATATACGGAGAGAAGCTGAGGGAGAGGAGGAGGTAAGAGCGTCATGGCGCCAAACTCCGAATGGGGGGATTAGTGGGAGTACGCGAGGGCAAGCTGCCTTTGTCGCTATCCATTGTCTCCCGCCAATCAGAGCGAACAAGACCGTTGTCTGCTCCTCGGGCAGCGTATCCAATGTGTCTATAACCCACTAATCATTCCAATCAGAGCTCGGAACTTTGAAGTCCCCGAGCGCTCCCATACGCCGTATCGTATGACGTACGCCTATAGCTTGTTTCAACATGGCGACGGCCAATGTTGCTGGGCGGAGTGTTGGAAAGGGTCCGTTCCCCGGGTGGCTCGGGTTAGGAGCTTCGGAGCAAGACAGGCGCGGTATATACGATGGAGACAGACACTCACGTTGGTTCGAAGAGAGCCGGGAAGGGCGTCGGTGGCTCCGCGAGACGGAAGGCGGGCAGCGGCGTCGGTCGGCTCATCTTGAACAGGGACTCGTCCATGGAGTCCTCCGACGGCGCGTCGGCGAGAACGTCGAAACCACTGTCGTCCGCGTCTGCAAAAGTCCAGAACAAAATAGCATCGTGGTAAGCTTAACCGAACCATTGTTTGGACTGTTTACGACTTTGGGGTAACTAATGACCGACCCAAAAACATTCGGTTACATTGGGTACACTCATCTAAAACTCCCCACTGATAACGCAAATGTGGCAGGAAGGTTCGAGTCACAGGAGGAACTGTGAGGTGCTCACCCATGAACGAAACGGTGCCGGGAAAGTGCCAGGGCAGGACCGGGCTGCCGTCGATGCTTTCGCCCGCCATGTCAGAGAGGAAACCTGGGAAGCAAACAAAAAGACTCGTGTTCAAGCATCGTCGAATAAGATGGGTCAAACGCAAGAAGTTCTGGGTTCGATAGCCAACCAGAGCAGAGAGCAAGAGATTGCGAAGAGGCGTACCTCTGAGCAGTTCGACCATGACAGGCGACCTGGCGAGTTCGAGCGGCGTCAGCCCCGTGCTCGTGGACAGCGAGGCGTCGGCGCCGTACGACAGCAGCAGTCGGACCACCTCAACGTGGCCGTTTTCCACAGCGTCGTGTAAAGGCCTGCACAAAAAAAAAAAAGGATAACTATATTAAAACGCGTACCACGTAATGATAGTGCTGTCATAAGCACTCAAAGGCACGAAATTGTGCTGCGAAAAGCACTCAAAAGCATCAGTGTCCAAAGCTGTCCAAAGTATGAACCAGTTGCTTCTGAGGTCGCGACAAGATGGCGTCACAAAGAGATGGGGGAGCTGGCTGTTCTACCGAGCATGCGCTAAATGCTTCGTTCTTCGCAAAGCGGATTACTGCGCACACGATCATTAAACAAACGCGCTTGTTTACAATCAGTGAGGTGGTGCGTGGCATCCGAGAGAACGATTTATGAATTCAGTTCAACATCAGTCGAAGCGGGTGTTCCTAATCACGGCCTTTTGATTGTGAGACAAAACACGGCGTCTTTGTAATATTAATAATAACGTCTATTCTTCACCAAGTGTCATTGTACAAAACCACCATGATTCATAAAGCAACGCTTTTGAAGGCAGCAAATGAGCGGTACAAACTACTACTAATACCAATAACCGTTAGAAAATTTTTTTTTTTTTTTTTTTTTTTTTTAAGTTTGGTTTAGAGAAAGCGGAGACTCAGTCAAGAAAATGCCATTTACAAGGGGACGCTGCTTAAAAAAAGGCTCCCCTACTTCGCGCGTGTATCACTGAACAGCTTTAACCCCCCCCCCCCCCCCCCCCCCGCCCCCGTTTCGCGGCAAGGAGGAGGAGGAGAAAACTTTATTGAAAACTGAAAGGCCTTCAGACTGCGGCGGCATTCCAAAAAATGTTGATGTCGCTGGCCGCTTTGCTTCGGCCGAATTCGCTAAAAGGAGGCTCCATCGACATTTTCTCTAAACTAAGCTTCTCCATGAGGCAATTCGGTAAACTTGAATCGGTGACACGGCGTTCGCTAAAGGGGTGTCCAAGCAGGACACTACAAAACGCACGACTGCGACAAATCGTGAAAATTGAAGCGGGCGCGAAGCGGGCGCGTCCGCTTCAATTTTCACGATTTGTCGGAGTCGTGCGTTTTGTAGTGTCCTGTTTGGACACCCGTTAAAGCGAGCTTCTCTAAAGAGCATACCTCCGGGATTGAACCGTTGAAGCAAATTACCCATCTCTTAGGGGCGAGGCCGAACGCAACCACATCGTGAATGCTAAACAGGAGACGATAATAACAGCGTCGCTGAAAGGTTCAACTTTCGCGCAGCTGTTTATTGTTTGCGGGAGACTCGAGACGACGGTGAGGAGGACATCCTCCCAGCTGGAAAGTGCTTTATGACGACAGAGCTCAGCGCGAGAAACAACGAGCAGAAGGTCGAGTGAGAAACGGAAACCGCAGGTGTTCTGACGTGGAGCTCGGTGCGGTGAACGTCAGACGGCTGTTGCGTTGTAGGCCGTCAAGAAACACCGCACGGGGAAACCTTTGGCCGAGACTACAATGGAGAGACGGTCGTAGTACGGACGTAGTCACCTACTTCAAACGCAACGAAAAGGCCAGGGTGAAAAAAATGAAAAAAAAATGTAATGAGCCTACTTGTCGGGAAGAACGCCTACGATAGAATGTCGGAAAGCGTTCCTCGTCTTACTAAAAACGATGGTTTCGAATAATTCAGCTTTTCGAGTTCGGGATGTGCCAGTGGCCAGGGCGACAGAGTTGTTGCGAAACATCGAGTATTTCGGATTCGCAAAGTTTTGCCTAACCAAAGTACTGTGCCCATCGACCACACATACACTACATCAGCTACGGCTCACCCGTTCCCAAGCGTGCCGAATGCTACATTGCTAGCAAAAAGAAAACGAGAACGGTGTCCATAAACCTCCTTTCTCAACATGCTCGTAAAAGACGGCAGCGCCGACGGCGAGTCATTGTACCACCAAAGAGAGAAAGAAAAGTACGAACTCGAATTGAAGCTATAGACGCTTTGCAGCAGCTGTGCATGGACACCGCCATAACTGACCTTCAGTTTTTGTTTCCTCGTATTTCGCTTATTTCACTTCATCATTACTATAGCAGGCAAGGTTTTTGACATATCAGATTCAACTGTGTCCTTTTGTAAAGCATCGGCCTTTGTAGAGGATCGTCAACTACCATTTCAGCTGCTCGGCATCTCGGTAAGACAAGAGAAGGTCAGCAATGGCGGCTGTAATTTGGCGCGTGTGTAAAGCGTCTATACCGAGAGCGCCGAGTGGGACTACGACTACTTGGACCCCGAGTTGCGAGTGGCCGCGGCGAGCGAACCAGCGAAGCGCCGCGCCCAGCGGCGGCGCCGTCACCACGGCCGGACGAGGCGAGCAACGAGCGGACGACAAACGAGCGCCCGGGCGATGAATCATGGAGGGGGGTCCGTCCGGCCGCAAACGGCGGCAGGCGCACCCCGGCCGTCCCAAGAGGGAGACGGCGGCCCGTCGCGCGGCGCGCGCGATTTTTACGACCCGCAGGAGAAGCACCAAAAAGAAAAAGCCGAGGGGGGGTCTGCCCGGAGAACTGCGTGTGCTCCCCGCGGAACGAACGAACCGGCGAATTCCCACGAAGAAAAAGCGCCGCCGAGGAAGAAGAAAGGGGGGGGGGGGGGGGGGGGGGGGGGCGCAGCGAACGCCGCCGTGCGGGCACCGAAGCGGTGGCGTGCGCCCGCGCACTCTCCCCGCCTTCCCCTCCTACCATCTTCCCCTTGCACTCCTTCGCCCTCGGGGTGCCTGCCATCCGCACGCGGGGACGACTCCGCTGGGCTGCCGGCCAAGTTCGGGGAGATAAAAGGGCCGCCGGAGGGCTGAAGGAGGGGAGGAAAGCCGCGAACGGGGGAGAAAAAAAAAGGGGGGGGGGGGGACAAAAAAGTTGCCCCCCCCCCCCCTTTTTTTCCTTTTCCCCCTCGAGGGCGGAAATTGGTTCGCAAAATCAATAACAGATGGCGCGACCTGTCGCTCCCAACGCCGCCCGCCCGCTGCGGCCGTCGTCGCCGTCACATCAGCCCCGCTGCCAGTTGGCGCGACTCCAAGGTACGCGGGTGCGGGGGACTCCGTGCTAGCGGCGCTCCGTCGCGTTTCTGTTTGCGCCCGGCGAAGCGGGTGTCGCAATTATCGACGCTGACGCTGTCCGAAATCCCGGCCTCGACGGCGCTCCACGTCCCGTGCGCCAGGAAAAAAAAAAAAAAAAAAAAAAAAACGGGGCGCGCGGGCTAAAGATGGATTCTAATCCAGATGGATTCTAATCCCTCCCCACGACGTTCCCCACCGCCACTACGGGATTCGTGACCCGCGCCTTTTTTTCTTCTCGTTCGGCGTAAATAGCCGTTCACCCCGAGTTTGTTCGGGGTGGCGCGCTCGTATTTCAAAGAGCGCCAGAATGCGCGGCGGCGCCGTCGTGGGCTCCTATCTGGCGGCTGCGATAAAAGTCACGTACGCGGGTCGGCCCGCCTCGGCGCAGAGAGGTCCCGCGGGGGAAGCCCACTCGGCGCAGCAGCGTTGCCCGCGGCCTGTGCCCCGGTCGCCGCGCCCATCTGCGTCGGATTAGGCGCCGGGCGAGCCCCGCTGATCCCGGAGATATCGAAGGAGCACGCAGCAGTCGCCCCTTTTATCGAGAGCGAAACCCGACCGGGCCATTCGCGCTCTCTCTCTGAACGGCGCCGCTTCGCGCCAAGGCGCCTTTCGACATATGCGGGCCTCTCAGCGGGAACGAGATGTTCTTTTAGCGTAGAATGGTGTTTCATCGGCCGAATTCTATGGACAAGACCGCCACGAAGAACCGTGACGTCAAGTTTCACGCTAAATGTAGCGGGAAAAATCATTTCACGTGCCAATTACTCCGTGAAATCTAGACAGACTGACGGTTACGTGACGTGATCACGTGACGTCACTTTCCTCGTAGCAGGGAAAGTTACCCCATGATACCACGGCAAGCTGCCTGAAGTCAGTTGATGTCAATTTCTGCGATGTGGTAGGTTTTTGTCATCGTGATCAAGCTCTTGCAATTTTTTTTTTTTTTTACTTTTTTTTCTTTTTGCGGATTGTCGGGGAAATTTGACGCAATAACACTTTCTCGCGAAGATCTTTTCTTTCTCTGTATATTTTTTCTCCCCGCTCGCCGGCGTATGCGACGGAGACTTCGAGGAAGTCCTTCTTTCTGTTTGACTCGTCCGTCTTCCACGAAAGTCGCGCCGGTGTTTACCGCGGCGGCAAGGAAGCCGTTGCCCACTTCCTGGCGATCTTTTTCCCCATCTTCGGCACGAGAGAGACGATCCCGCAATTTCTCGCGACTTGTGCGGAATGTTGTACGAGCGCAAGCTCCACGACGCTCTCCGGCCTTCCAGCGTATTCGCCAAGCTCGTGCGCTATCAGCATCGTTCAGGTCAACACACTCGTGCTCGGAGCTTCGACTTCACTGGCACATAAAGTGACGTGAAGGTTTAAGCTGTACAAGCGCGCGCGCACACTGGAAGTTGCTTTCAAATATGCCATCCCGCATTCACTTTAATCGAAACGAAAGAGTGGAGACTTAGACCGAAGACAAAGCGATATAATCGCCACTGAGATGGCTTTTATAATCACTGACCGGATGAAAGCGGTAGGGCGTCTGTTTTAAAAGTCCGTCCTCCAGCACCAGACGCCAAACCGTTATCGAAGTTAAGAAGCTCGTAGAGGAAGCGGGACAACTAAAATATATCCCTGCCGTTCTCAACTTCTGAGTGACTCGGATAAAGTTTACGTCTTTTTTTTTTTTTTTTTTGTCCATTTTCGCGTGCCACATCCGGACGAAGAAAGACAGACGCACGCGCAGCCTTTCACAGCCCGCGAGCGGTCCGTGACCCGGCCCCCGACCGCTCGCCCGCTCGCGCAAAAGCGTGACCGCCGCGATTTGCATGCGGGACCCCGACTCATCTCCATGTTGCCGAGCTTCCCCTATCCCTCGGCGTGACCTCGTGCAGGAGACGCCCTTTGCATACGCAGCGGCGGCGGTATACGGCAGCACACCGCAAGGGACTGTCGTTGCCGCCGCCGCGGCCGGAGGGCCTG